TCTGGCTGACTTCCGACTGCCCTTCTTCTTCTTCTCCGATCACCACTCTGTCGACTAGGATTTTGGTTCCCTGCGAAGAGGAGTTTAAATTTCCTCTTCATTCAATCCAGGCTGTCTATTTGAGTTGATGTAAAGCGAGGAGAACCGTCTGATCGTTGCTTGTTTAGGCCGATCACGTGTGCGAATCAAGGTCGTCCATTACGATTAATCCCATCCGTCTAATCGCGTCTGAAAAGAAAACAAATGTGGATCGTTTGTGCGCGCCGGATGCGATTTGGACTATTGGATCGCTCAGGCACATGGATTGCCCGCGTGACCTCTTGCATTGAACCGATGTCAACGTGTCCGCCACGCGGCATATTCTAACTCGCCGTTGCTACTAACATGGTCGTCCCACGTGACCGAATTTTTTCTTTTTGTGATTTTACCCTATGTTTTGAATTTTTCTTTCAAAAGCACTCCTCTTTATTCATAATTTTTTATCTTTTTTCAAAATTATTTTCAATTTCATTCTTAAATTTATTTTTTTCAAAAATTTCATAAAATTAAAATAAAATAAAAATTAAATTATTTTAATATATTATTTTATTAATTATAAAATTATCCCGAACTAAATTTTCAGATCTGAGTGTTACAAGAGGTAACCCAATAAATCAAATTTTCACCCCATTATACCATTCTACAATTTTTTAGTTACAAAATAGAGATTTCAAGAGTTGAAATGTAAAGAATTTTTTAATAAACTTACTAGATACAGATCCAGATAATCAAGTTATAGGTCTTGCAAGGTTCAATCTAATGCCACAGCTACATCTTCTGGCGCATGATCTGTACACCTGTAGATGAATTGTAGTTTATCCATGTTTTATGAATATCAGTACAAAGTATTTTAGAAGTGTTTCAATTCATAACCTTGACTACCAACAGAAGCAACCAGAGTTTGGAGGTAATCCATAAGTCTCCACATTTCACTACACCTTCTGAAAAGAACTTCTTTAATGCATGACCAATCTACACATACCAATGAATTGTTGCATTAGAAAGTTCTCTAATTACATAGAATTTGTGGGAATGTAGTCTTATCCTGGGGACAATTCTCCAAAGCTTATTACCCTCTTCACTACTGCATTAGACTCCTCACATAAAAATTTATTGACTCATTCATATTTCAAAGATGCACACCTATATATTATATCCACAAGAATATGACGAATATCGAGCTCACATGCCAATAATTAGGTGCTCAGTTACTTTAAATTGGCGCACAAGTTAAGAGTAATCTTCACCATTTTTCAAAGAACTGAAAGGAAATGTATAGTCTGATAAGATTTTACAATTTGTGGACTACCAGTTTTCCTTTTAGTACCAGTTCTAGAATAAACCAAACCCTGAATGAGATTAAGCAAATATAAAGGTGACAATCTCGTGATAAAGTTCACAAAAACCATGATCCAACGGTGGATCGCGTTCATAATTAGTAAAGTGTTACCTCCTTCTCATTGCCATAAACTGCAGCGCAATCAATGTTTCTGTATCCTTCCTGCACTCAACACAGATTATACTAAGCAGGATCATATACATCCACAATCAAGATGGAGGAAGCTAAAACATCACATGACTCATTTTATTACATACGCTTCGATTAAGAACCGAAATCACTTTGATATCATCCAGAACTTTGTACCTAACATCTGCATTTCATTCCATCAGTTGTCTAACTTGTTTTAGAGGAGAGATTACCTTAACGGCAAGTGCGACGGTGTCGCCTACCACGCCGGGGGCAGCCTGCCAGGTGCCCAACCCAACAGAAGGGATCTTGGCTCCGGTGTCCAGTTCAAAGAACCGGAGAGATTCATCCATTTCGTGAAGCTGTAGGAAAGCAGACCCTGGCAAGGACTGAACATTTTCCCCACTCTTTTCAATAACAATAAGAATCGAAACAGCTAGAGAGACAGCCAAAAGAGAGCCTCGTGAACGTTGAAGGATATGCAGCTTCCCGGCAAAGAATCAGAGCGAGTTACGCTGGTGAATTTGACAA